AAGGAAGCAAACGCAACCCCCAACCTCCACGGCCGTCTCTGCACCCGTCCCCATGGAGTGGGCGATGGTGGTAGGACGCAAAGGGAAAAGGAGAGCGGGAACGGGGAATGCCTCGCTTCCGGACAAAGAACCTGTCGGAGGGGCGGTTGGAGAAGCTGTCGGCGGGCCAGTCGGTGGTAAGAAGCCGGCCCAGGGCGCCGCCACCACCCTCTCGCAGAAGATACGGAAGGCGCCGAGGACGGCAGCGGTGACGCTAACGTGCCTCTGCGAAGGAGGATACAGCAAGCACATGGCGGATTGTAGGAATGCCATTGTGCTCAGCGAACTGGGGATTGAAAAACACCCAAGCATAAGGACGACGGCAACCGGGGTTCTCAACATAGAGATCTCCGGCCCGGAATGCGGCATCAAGGCCGACGCACTAGCGAACAAGATGGCCGAGGTGCTGGCAGGCAGGGAGGGCGTGAGAGTTACGAGGCCGGTGATGACCGCCGATATAAGGGTCTCCGGCTTCGAGCGGTCAATCACGCAAGAAGTGAGGAATGCTCTCGCTTTAAAAGGAGGTGTCTGCCCGACGAAAGTGGAAATCGGTCCGATAAAGAGAATCCCGAATGGATTGTGCATGGTGGTTGCGAAATGCCCGCTTGTCGCGGCAAACGCGATAACGAAGGAGAACCGCATTACAATCGGATGGGGACCCGCCAAACTGGAGTTTTTGGCCAAAAAGCCATTACGATGTTATAGGTGCCAGGAAATGGGCCACACCATAGCTACCTGTAAAAGCAAAAATGACCGCACCGGAGCATGCTACCGGTGCGGGGAAACCGGCCATCAGGCAAACGGGTGCGAGGCCCCCTTCAAATGCGCGGTGTGCGCGGGTAAAGGGCTTCCTAGCAACCATCGAGTTGGCAGCAAGCCATGCCCCAGTGGGAAAAAGGGTAAAGGAAAAACGCCCCCTTCCAACAAAAAGGAGGGTAAAATTCCCCCATAAAAGGCAAGCGGGAAAATCGATGTCGCCTTAAAGGAGGGAACGGGGAAGATAGACTCGGGAAAGACCGGGACAACCGGGGGTAAGGAAAAACCCAGGATGACAAAAAATAGGGAGGTTTCTGGCTTCAAAAAAGCAGGAAACCTGCTCATCACTAGTGGAGCTCTAACCAAGGAGAACACCGCGGCGAAGAAGAAGGGGAAAAGAGGCAGGGTGGACCCTCCCGCGGATGTGCCGATGGAGGTGGACATCAGATGCCCTCGACGAGTAGAGAAGGAGGAAGGGCGGAGGACCCTGAGAAGAAAGAGTAATGTCTCTCAGGGTCATCCAGACAAACCTCAACCACGCCCGCGCCGCTCAGGACTTGTTCGTTCAAGCGATGGCGGAGCGCGGGTGTGGTATGGGCATAGTGGCGGAGCCCTACAGGGTCCCGGCGGACCACCCCTGCTGGACCAAAGACCGTAGTGGCTCCGTCGCTTTAACGTGAAGGGCGCTGCCAAACTCCCCCCCGTGCACTTCGTTGGAGGCCGGGGACGGGTTCGTGGCGGCTAAATTGAGGCTCATCTCCGTCGTGGGAGTCTATGCTCCTCCTAGATGGAGCCTGGCCGAGTTCAAGCAAATGTTGTTTGATCTCGAAGAGTGCGTCAGGAGATGCATGCCCGGCCGGGTCCTGGTGGCGGGGGACTTTAACGCAAAGTTTCCGCTGTGGGGTTCCCCGCGCACCAATGGGAGAGGCCGCGCGCTCGAAGTCTGGGCGGCGGGCCTCGGCCTCGTGTTGATGAATACGGGCCGAGAGGACACCTACGTGAGCCGGCGAGGGGCCTCAATTGTCGATCTGACATGGGCTACTCCCCTTGCCGGACGAGAAATGCACGGCTGGAGGGTGGTTACGGACCAAGAGATACTCAGTGATCACCGATACTTTGAGATGTCGGTCCGGGCCACTCCTCCAGGCCTACTCACCCGCCGCCGAGCTGCGGAAGGGAAAAGACGGAAATGGGCCTTTAAGAAGATCAATAAGGATCTTTTTACGGCCGCGATCCTTGGATCGACGTGGGGAGTGAGCGACGATGCTGGAGGGGTGGGGGACGTGGACGCGGAGGCTGGGCGCATGATGAGGGCCGTGTCGCGGGCGTGCGACGTGGCGATGCCACGCGTCCA